CCGCCCCCCGCGGTGGGTGGCCAGCATCGCCCTGGCGGCCAACGAGGAGGCGAGCGCGAGCGTGGTGGTGCGGCCGGCGGACTCCTTCCCCGAGCAGGCCGAGCAGGTGTGTGTGGGCCCTGGGTGGGCGGTTTTACCGGGACGCGGAGCTCCTTAGTACTGTGCAGTCCGTCTTTGGAACAGGGAAAAGATCCTGGGTCCAAGTCTTGGGCCCCAGCTGTTGCCATCTAGATAAAAGCACCATCAGTAAGGAGGTTATTCTGCAGTTGTTTGTTTCTTGCACCATCATCAGGAATGTCATAGAAATGGTTCTGGTCACACCTGGAGTTTCATCTCCCATGTTCTTAAATAGCACAGTACCCAGAGAGGAACCCGTCGAGACATAAGTTGCAAGTGAGTTTCTGTAGTTGCTGTTTGTGGCACAGTAAGGGTCAGGGCTTTCAGTCCTGCTCAGATGAGTTGTTTCCACTGCCAGCACGCACTGCATGCTCAGACATTCTGTTCTCCTTGTTTTCCAACATTACTGTTTTGGTAGTTCGAAAATGTTAATTTTCTGCAGCTGTTCAACTTGTTAAATGTGTTGTGTTAACACAGCTCCATAAATGGAGAGGGGAAAAAAAAACACTCAAAGGAAGCCTTGATATTTAATCTTATAAAGGTCCAGAATGCTTTTAGAATGTTTTTGTTCTTTATATTGAAGGTGACAGCAGAGGTTGGAAAAATCCTTGGTGAAGACAAGGTGGACGCAATCTTGTGTGTTGCAGGAGGATGGGCTGGAGGCAGCGCCAAAGCTAAATGTGAGCCTTTGGTACATCCATGTTAGGGAACACATGGATGAAACCTGAGAAAAATCCTTAAAAATCATGGCAATAAAGATCCTGTGAGCACAGACAGGACACGAGCATAATAGTGAGCAAAGCAGCTCAGCCACAATTCTTGTTAGTGCTTCTGAGAATTGCAGCAGTTTGTTAAATTGCAGAGCATTTGTGAGTCTTGAAGTATTTTATAAAGGAGCTTATTGTCTATGAACTAAATTTGCAAAGTTCTTCAATGACAGGCAAGTCACAAACGTTGACATTTTGTTTCCTAATTCATTGCTTTATCCGTGGGATCTCAGCTGCATCCTGCAGCTCTGAAAGCTGTTACTGCACAACACAGCAGTGACAGGAGCTGTGCAGTGATCTGAGATTGTATCAGGTGGTCAGCTTGTTTGCTGTCCATTAGTTAGATACTTGTGTGTATTCCTTATTTTGTTAAGGAAATGTTCATACTGAATGCCTTTGACGTGCCTGAGCGTTGCTTTTCTCTTTCCCCTGTGAATAATGATAATGAAAATAATGTTTGCTCAGAGAAGCAACTGTTCAAATTCTGCTTTCATTTGAATATACTGTGTTATTGTTGCTTTAATTTCTGGTAGTGAGAAGGCAGGTAATTGTCAAAAATACATGTTGTCGAGCAGGGTCTTAAAACCGAAAGATGTGAAATATGTGAAATGATACTTTACCTGAAGCAGAAATAAATAAATAAAAACCTAGAAAACCTGTTTTCATAGTAACATTGAACTTGGCATGATAGGGAGTAAGCATTGTAAAACTCTTACCTAATGGTTACTCTTGCTAATTCTCTTCTTTAATTAGCATTATACAAAAACTGTGATTTGATGTGGAAGCAGAGTGTTTGGACGTCCACTATTTCCAGTCACCTAGCCACGAAACACCTTAAAGAAGGAGGCCTCTTGACTTTGACGGGAGCACAAGCTGCTCTATCTGGAACCCCAGGTAAAATGCAGTGTATTGCACTGGGGGGCTGGGCAGCACTTGCTACATGCTGGTCTGTGAGTGCTCTTCCTGTGAGACAACAGTTGTAACTTGGTCTCTTGACACGCTATTCAAATGGAAAATTACTGCTAAGGCACTGAAGTAAATTACAGTTTTACATTTTGGCGTTGCTAACTTTAATGAAGCTAGAGTGCAAAGAAACAAGCAAAAGATGAGTGTTTGAATTCCAGTTGATATTTATTGGTGAAATGTAATTGGCTAATACATGATACACTGTTTGGAAAATACAGAAGAATTGAAATATTCTGAAAGCTCTAAGTGCAGTGCTTTGATGAAGTAAAATCTTCAGTTTGCTTTTGTGAGGGGCAGAGTCCTTAATTGCCCAATTTTCCATAAGCGATGACTCAGCTGATTCTATTTAATGTGTTTGTCCTGTTCGTGTTCTGATTCCAGGCTGCTTTTGCTTCAGACTTAGTGACCTTCAGCTTTGCCCTTCATTAGCTCCAGTACCATCTTCATACAGATTTTTCTGTCTTATTCCCTGTGTTGCTCTGAATAGGTGAAGAAATCTGAGAGCAATTAAATCCACAGGCATTAGTAGTGAAGGAGAAGGTCTCTAAGACAAATACTCATCTTTCTGATATTTTGTATTAATGTGACTGCCATTTTTTTGATGAGATATAAAATAAATTTGGGAATATTCCTAGCAGCCACGTCTAAAACCTTTCAGTACTTAAAGCTTTCTGCCATGTTCAGGGACGTATGTGGTATTCTCTAGTTAATGATTTATCTTCTATACTGACATGTTTACAACTGCATCTGGCATAGTCTGAAGATAAAAGGCTTATTTATGAAAATAAGCAGATGAATAATTTATTGTGTACTACTAACTGACCATACAAAGATGAAAATATGTGAACCTCTAGCAAACTCTCATGATGTTTTTGCAGTGGGAGGAAATAGGGACAACACAGGAATCAGTGATTTACTTTCATGTTTTGAACTAGCTGGTTTCAGTAATTCTGGATTTTCTTTAAAAACACCATAGTGCTTTAGGCTAACACATGGAGCTTATTAACAGGAAGGAAGAACTGAGAAAGAATTGTTACTCAACTTCTGCTAATTTGAATCCTTAGGCTTGTTTTCATGGAAGGAATTGTCTTTTTGTTTTCTGCCATTACTGTGAATTTTATTTTCCCATGTGAAAACATTGATCAAGGGAGACTTGCCTAATGCGAATTGTAGAAAAATGCAAATGCTAGGATACGTACGGAGGCAGTCTGACAGTGATGGCAAAGAAATGCAGAAGCATGAAAAAGTTTAAGAAGATTTATACTGAAGAGAAGAGATAAGAGGGGGAGCATCAGAAAGATGGAAATAATTTATAGTAACAAGAAAATAAATTATTTGCCTCTTTCTGATACAAAGGGACATTTTTGTCTAATACAAAGGGATGTTATACAGTATGTTTGATTATAATGGAAACAGTTCTACCAAGAAAAAATACCTTTTTTCTTTGCTAGGAAGTATTTCTTCAAGTTTATTTAAAGAGGTCTACTTTAGGTATATAGATGAGTGGAAATGCATCCAGTTATAGTAGAAGAAACACATTTGTCTTATGTGGTCAATCTGAGCCTAATGGCTTGGCACGTATTTACCATGCAGCAGCTTGGACGTATAGTACCCATAAGTGTCCATCTGGGTCTTGTACCTTGCCAGTGTACCGTGGCCCCCTTATGCTCTTATTTCTGTGGAACTTATGCTATTGAACACTGGCTGTGAGTAAACAGTAGTAATTAAGAAAAAGTTGCTTTATATGCAGATTACTTAGGAATTTTCTACCATGAGGCTACTTTTCTGCAAAGTGCTTCTGTTGGAGTTAGAGTGTTACAGTTGTGGGGCATAAGCTGTATCTGTTTAGGTCCAAACTGGCAAATATTTAAGTCATATATTTAAAACTAAGATAATTTCCTTAGTAAAGTTCATGAGCCTCCTCACACTTACTGCATTAGTTTGGAAAGGTCACCCCTATCAGTCTAATCCCTCAGGGTATGTCTTGAAGCATAAACATATAACTTGTTAAGCTGCTTATTTCTGTATACTAAGTAAACTGAGTACTGCCATATCTGAGTGTCTAGTAAGCTTGCTTTCTTCATTTTTTTATTTATATTTTTTTCTTCTTCTTTCAATACATATGTCTTGCTATGTTTTAAAAATAAGATTCTGTTACCAGGCCATGGTGTTAAACCTCCTTTTCATCAAATAACGTGAGTTTCTATCCTGATACTAATGAAGTTGAGCTGTCTGTATGGTGCTCTGCTTTGCCTGTTCTTAATTGCCAGGGATGATTGGCTATGGTATGGCCAAAGGAGCCGTGCACCAGCTCTGCCGGAGCCTGGCTGGTGCTGGGAGCGGTTTGCCACCCGGCTCTGCTGCTGTTGCTGTCCTGCCGTAAGTGCTCGTGTGGTTACCTTCCTGCCACAGTGTTTGATTTTTATTATGCTGTAACCTAGAGTCGCTTGGATGTGTTTGATGTTCCATCCTTGCTGAACAGTCAGCTTATTAGAGCTAATTATCGTTTCACAGAAAAAGGATCTCTCTGGGGTGTATGAATGCAGTGATGTGCAAGTTACCCTAAAAATGAAAAAAAAATCCTTTTTTTTCTTTATTTTGCAGAGCAGTATTGGATGTTAGGATTAAAACTTGATTCGCTTTCAATCAGTTTAACTGTAACCATGTATTAACATGCAGTTTTCAGTGTAGAAGAAAGCAAAGCAGTGAGCTGAGCCATCAGGACCGCTATTCAGGTTTAGCTGTGTGATAATAGTAAAGCAAAGGATTACTTGCTAGATTATACTTAGCTGAAAATGATGCACAGCACTTAGAAGCAATTTGCTTGAGCAGGTGGAGTATTAGGTCACTTCGAGGACCATGAGAAGAAAGTTCAGTTTGTTTTTCTCCATAGTATAGTAGTATAAATATTCTACTCAAGTGAACACTTTGTCTGCTTGTGCAGGGAAATCTCTGCCTTTGCAGCTGGTCTGAGGCTACCAGAAGGCATGTGCAGTCCGTGTGAACAGGCGTTACTGCTGTCTCATGACTACTGCTTCTGAGAGGCTGTTAGAGGCTGGCTGGAAGGTGTGGGCCTGGTGGCTTGTCCTAAAGTGCTGGATGTTGTCAGCAGGGCTCATAGCCTTTGATACGCACCGAAAGTGATGTGGTGTACTGTTAAATGTGTAGGGGATGCAAAGGAAATCCATGCCACATGGTATAGAAGTTAAGCAACTGTTACAGGAGTGAATAGAAGCAGGTGACTTTCACTGAAAACATGATAACAGGTTTATCTTTCTCAATCACAGGGTTACCTTGGATACACCAGCCAACAGGAAATCGATGCCTGACGCAGATTTCAGCTCCTGGACACCCTTAGAATTCGTTGCAGAGTGAGTGTGTATGTGTATATATATGTGTGTGTGTGTGTGTGATGACTAAGCACTCCCTCACTGTCCCTTTTGCTGTTGCATCTTCCTGCCTGTCCTTTCTAAATGTCTGTCTTAGATTTGTGTGTTTTTTTTTTTTTAATCATTCTCTCATTCTGTGTGCCTTTAAATCTGATTAAACTTATTGCACAAGCTCCTTAACTGGTGAATATTGGAACAACTCCATCAATTTTAACATCTCTATACTAGTTATTCCTGTAAAGGAGAAGGTCTCATAAAGCCTGTAGACAAATGAAGTTGCAGAGAGCAGATGTAGGCATCAGCAATGTGGTTTAAATATAAACTGCAGAGAGCCATGTGGCTTTTTTTCTTGATTTCTTTACTTCCTTTACTGCTCAGTTTATGGTGAATTAATTCATTTCTGTCATTAAAAATTTCAGTCCAGAATTTTCTTCCCATATCCAGAAATGTCGGTCCTGAATGATGTCGCAAAATGCTGAAACTTGAGCTGTAGCTTATTTAGCAACAGGCTTGGATTTAAAGGCTTATTATTTATAATTCCTCTCAAGTAAAGGTAGAAAAAGCGAAGCATAACACTGTCTTCTGTGATGTCCTGGAAAACAGATCTTTGAATGATCCTACTGATGGTGAGCTGCCAGAAAGAAGAAAAACACCACTGTGTCCAACAATGTTGTGATTTTTTTTTTTTTGTTTTAGAAGCAAAAATGGATACTGTAAAGGGTATAAACATTTAAAAAAAAATTAAGGGCTTTTAGAACTGATGCTGAAATTGCATTTTTACTATTGTTATGAGAAGAGTCTAGTTTTGACATCTGAATTGCTTGCTCTGTGGCTTTTCTTAAGTTGGATGTCAGATTGAGTTTTGTGTGTGTGTTTTTTTTTTTTTTTTTTTTTTTTTTCTCTCCTCTCTGTGAGAAGCCCATGCAGCTGCTTGATGTGGTCCTTTAAAAGGCTCCATCAATTTAATTTAGTTGACCTAAAAATGCTCAGAAAAATTCCTATTGTGCTCCAGAGACAGCTCAGCCAGATGTTGTGGTTTTACTTTAAAATTACAAATAAACTTTACGTCTTTTCTTTATGGGAGAGTTAGGTTAATTCTTTTGTGCCTTGATTTCTAATTCTCTGAACTTAAAATCCAATTTTGACAGCAGAAATTCTCACTAATGCTGTTAGAGTTGCTAACATTATTTCCTTCCTTTTTGGAAGGATGCAGGAACTCTGTTGTAATTTCATTCTTGCCTTCTGACTGTGCTTGCTTTCTACTGTGCCCTGAAAATCATTATATTTCATTATGGATTAAATGGAATCATTATATAAAGGATTCTTTTACCTTTTAAAATGGCAGTTGTAATATATGCTATACTGGAAGGGTTGATGGACCCAAGACATACTGCATTTTGGTCCCTAGTGACAGGACAAGAGGCAATGGGCACAAACTGGACCATGGGAAACTCCACTGGAATATAAAAACTTCATCCCTGTGAGGGTGATTGAACACTGGAAGAGGTTCCCCAAGGGAGGCTGTGGAGTCTTTATCCTTGGAGATACCTGAAACCCTCCTAGACGTGGTTCTACCTGGCCATGTGAGGCAGGGGAGTTGGACCACGTGATACTGCATAGGATGACTTAAGGCTTCCTGTGCTTCTACTGAGACTACATTCACAGCTGGTTATTTAGTATCTGTTGACAAAGCACAGGTGGAAGTATTGGAAAAAAAAATTAAGAAAAAAATGCGTCAAGAAGGAATGACATGGAAAGAAAGGAGAAAACTTGGCTAGGTTCACAGGCAGCAGTAGAGGGGAAAAAGAATGGGAATAGAGAACAAAGAAAAATTATTCAACTTATAATGTTTGAAAACTGTTGTAGCTATAATTTTTCATTCCTGATGTATACAATAAAGATGGCTTAAATAGCTACCAGCTAGACATTTTAAGTTGTTGTTGTTTTCCTCTGAGGTGTTCTGCAAGTCCTGGTGTGTGCATGTGCTGTAAAGTCCTCTTGGTTTCTCTAGGCCTCCATCTAGCAATAAAGGGTCTGAATCCTCTTATCACATTGCAGGTGTGGGACATGCACCCCTCTGCAGTAGGAAGTAGGAAAAGCAGTAGGCTTTCATTTTATGTCTCCTGTCGATATATCTAATAACTGCATTTTTCCCCTCTCCTTATCATCCCTTTCTGTTAATTTATTTTGAAACAGAACTTTTTATGACTGGATAACTGGAAAGAACAGGCCAACCTCGGGGAGTCTAATCCAGGTGATAACTACAGGAGGGAAGACTGAACTAGTGGCAGCACATCTGTGATGTCAGTCACTTGTGACTGTGAACCTTCAGTAAAGGAGACTGAGAATCTTCTCCTGTGGAAGATACCTGCTAGTATTTTGGATGTTTTTTGTATCCAGTGATTGTTAACTATGTCACTTACAGCACCAGGTTGCAAGTGGTATTTCTGTGATGTCAGTTGCTATCAGTGTATTTACCAAGTATTTGTTTCTAAATGGAAGTTACAGACTTTAAAGTCTAAATGTGCTAATCCTGAGCATTATATAATGACTTACCTCTTTTTCTGAAATGGGAATGATGCTTTATTATGTCATGTAATCACACATATATAATGGTCAGACTCTTTCATCTGTCAGTAAGTCTTTCTGGCACCTTTCTGTGAATGTCTTGATGGTCCTTTTGTGTGGGAATATAACCACATCCCTGTTATGTTGGCTGTAGCTACAGGAATCACTGCAGTTACTCTCTGGAACTACAGGAATGGCTGCAATCACTGTACTAGTCCTGTAAACTTTTCCATGTGAACATTCCACTGGAGTTAGTGGAACTGTGTAGTAATTAGTTACTTGAGTTCCTAATTTGCCTTAATGTTTATAAACTGCTGTCAGATCTAGAGTTGGAGGATAACAGTAGTTTTGCCAAATGCTTAGGTATGTCTTTGTATTACTCATGACTATTCTTTATTTTTTTTAAAAAAAGCAAAGTGCCCTAAAGAACTATGCCAAAAACCACATATGTCTGTTTTAATGTGGAGGGCTTTTTGTGCTAAATATATATTTATTTTAAATGTTGGGCTAGCAGCTTTATTGTAATCCAGACATGTTTGAAGAATAGCTTTGTTAGATTTGTTTAGTACTTTCAAAAACACAAGCAATTCTGTGATTTATGCTTAATGCAGACAAGGGACTTGTCATGGTCTTGTATTTATTTCCTTCTCATGGTGTTGTGGAAAATATTCTTTTTCAGCAGAGATGTGGAAGAGCTGCTAGCTATAGGCCAAGGCTGGCCTCTGGCTGCAGTGTTGCCTTTCATTCCTCTGGCAAGTGCAGTGAGAGTTTGGTGGCAGAATGAACATGTTGTTGCTTCTCATCACAAACACTAATTTTGGGGTAGTGTTTGGTGTGAATTTGCTGATACGGGGCAGGAAACCTTCCCCCCTTCCAGCAGAAGGTAGGGGCCTGTCTGCTGCTGTCAGTTTAACAGGATCATAAGGTGTCTGTGTGACAGACAAAAGCTGCAAGGACAGTAAGGACTGAAGCGGGGGAAGGGAAGGGGCCTCATACAGTGCACTTCCATGCGCTTAAGTCTTCCCTTCACCAAGCTTCCAAATCGCAAGCACACTCAAAAGTGCTCATGTTGTCATCTTGTTCATCTACTGAATCAGCTCTCAGAAGCTCTCTGAAGAGCAGATGAACCTTTTGAAGGGAGTGGGGAGTGCAGGTAGGGTTCCAGATGTGCAATTATACAAATGTGTTTTAAAAAAAAAAACCCAGGGACTAGCAGGTTCTGTGGCTCAGAAGGGGTATATATTGGTAGAAACTATGGTGGCAGAAGCAGATAGCACAGTAAAAGACAGTAGGACATGTCCAGAGAATCTTTTATTTGCTAAGGGCTTCTGGGCTCTTTTAAGTATCTCTGTAACTTGTGTATGTGTGCCTTACTCGTAATAACCTCTTGAAGAGGCTGTGGTCACATAGAATTTAGTTGAAGGCTATAAATAACCATGAGATTATAGAGCAGGAGAGGGGAAGAAATATTTAAATTTTAGTAAAAAGAACAAAAGGTCAGAAAGAAAATTAGATGAATCTGTGCACATCAGAAACTAGATTAATTCTTTTCTTTCCTTTAGAGAGACCTAATAGCCCTGATGGAAGAGGGGGAAAACAAACAAGAGAAATATGTTGCTGTGGCCTAGGTGCCTCAGGTGTGCTTTGCCAGCAACTACTGATAGGGCCTAAAGAGGAGACAGGCTAGAAGCAGAACTCGGTGTTGAACACACACCCGTGTTAGCTGCCACGCTGTCCTGCTGCACGTGTGGTGCATGGGCAGCTCTAGCTACCTGTGCTGATTCGAAGCCTGACATGGGGCTGCTGGGCGGATCGGGGCTGCTGCTCTCCCGTCTAGCTGCTTAAATGAAAGATTATGGTTAAGGTGAGAAGAGTTTAGCCAGATAAATTCCCGAGATGGAACACATCCATGTCAAGCTGAGTATCAAACAGATGAATTTGCCAATGTCTTACCATTCTGCAACTGCAGTCATTAAAACATCTGCATGCACACAGCTAATTGAGTAAGACGCTTTCCCATACCGTCCTCTTTTGAAGGTGCATATTACTGTGCAATAAAGAGATCGATGAACTCTGGGGGAAAAGCAATATATAAACTATACCAAGCAGATCAGGCCTTGATCTTCTGTTCTAATTCATTTGTGCTGAGCATTCTGGCTTCAATAAGTGTAAGAGTCTACACTTACAGAAAAGGGATGTTTCTAAATTCAAACCAAGGTGCTTTTGAAAAGACTAATTAGACAGAACTCCTGAGCAGGAATAGATAAAATAACCCCAAACTGCGGTAGCCTGCTGTAGAGTAGCATCAAATAGCAACGTGCAGTGACAAAATATGATGACTTGGCCAAAATACCAAAAGACCAGTCTTTATGAATACTTTTTTTCCCTCTGCTAATTTATAAAACATGAATTTTAAAGCACAAGTAAATATAAAATAGAGAAGACTGTCATTTTTAGTGTAAGAAGGTGGAAACGTGAGCTGCTGTTCAAGTTGTACCCCACAGAGCTTCATCCACAGGGAACAGTCCTGTGGCTTTGCAGAACCTTTGGTTAAAACGTGCTCCTGTGCATGACCAAGCACTGCAGGACCCAGTGAGCAGTGTTTCACATCTCACTCTACAGTGGTTCTGGTGACAAAGAATGTTAGGAGTTTGTCTATTTTACCAACAGGTTAAATGACTTTTTTGAAGTTACATTTTTACTAGAAAATTAGCTTTCTAGTAATTAGTTAACAGAAAGTGGCCACCAAATGAAAGTTTAAAGTGATGTTTTGCACCCAAAGAAAATAAACACAGTTTCATCATGGAGTGGTTGCCAAGTACGATGGTATCTAAGTCACGTAGCAGTTGTTCTTCTAAATTAACCAAAGTTGCACTGTCGAAATAAATCATTATGCTAAGCAAACGCAAAATTTTTATAGTCGAATGAAAATCACCACCACAACAAAAATAACTTTATTATCTTGTTTCTCCTTCCTTGTATTTGCTCTCTGCAAGAAAACAGATGGGAAGTGTAATAGTATGCGGAGATGCCTCATACTAATCCTTGTGGTGTTGAACAAGGTGAGAAGTAGACAGACATCTGACAAGCATTTAGAAGTCAATAGAAAATGTCACTTGAGATTTAGATCTCTGTCAGGCGCTGCCATCTCTGCACTTCCTGAAAACTCATGTTCTGACGGATTTGCTCTATGAACACGGGCAGCCCCTCGGGCCCTGTGTGCGGTGCTCTGGGGGCGCAGGCAGAGCCCGCGGCTGACGCTCACGAGGCCGGCAGAGGGCAGGAGCGCCCAACACACGGAGCGGGTCTGCCGCTCGGAGCGCCCAACTGGCAACCACCCCTCTTGGCAGCAAGGATTTTAACTGTGCCAGTCCCGACTGAGAGGCTCACCCTCCTCTCTTGCTTTATTCCCCATAATCCAAGCTGCCTGGCCTTTTGTGCGCCTTAGTTGGCGTGCCGATAATCTCTTATATATGGCACTTTCAGAAACCCCTCCGTATATTCAATTAAAACAAAGAAGTGACCGCAAGCCGAAGGATGGACAGGGAGCCAAGGCTCTGAGGAGAGTCCCACAGCAGGGTGTAACATCACTGTTGACATGTCAGAACCCTCTGCCTCCTCAATTGCTATTCTGTCACACAGGGCCTAAACACAGCTGAACTGCAAGGGGAGTGCTTAACTCCTGTGCTGCACGTAAGACATGTAAGAAGCTACAGGATTTCCTAGCCCAAGCAGAAGAACAAGTTACTTTTTCTGACCGGTCTTGTACTAATACACTGGTGGAAACTGGTGACAAAAGAATTACTTACGAAGGAGGTTTTAAATGTGAAAGATTTAACTCCTTTGCCTGTGTTATGAAGGAACAATTACATCAAAGCAGTGTTATTGAGGAGGCAACACAAAGTGGCAAGCCATATGACTGCCAATTGTATAGTTCAATATTCATTACCTGGGGCTTCCTGGAGATACGAACTACACTGCTACTCACACTACTTGCTTTTTAAATTTTTCATCTTAACTAGTGTTATTAAGGAAATATGAAGAAATGCCTGCAAATGGAAGGTAGGGAAAACCTTTGGAGTGGAAGTGCTGCTCTCTATTCTGCCTTGGCTACTGGCCTGCCCCAGTCCTGCCTCTGTGCCTCCATTTCCTCAACTCCCAAACATAGCAGAGACCATTTTAAAATGCTTTAAGATCCACTGAGGAAAATCAGTATAAATGAGTGAAATACAATTATCTCTCCATGAATGCATTAATAAAAGCTCAAAATACCCTCTTTGCCATTGGTTTCATCATGGGAAGAGAAATTAATTGTAGAATTGCAAGCAGAAGCCAAAATTGTATCACTTTGTGGTAAGTCAAACTCAGTGATTTGCAAAGTTCTATGCCAAAGATTACCTCAGCCAGGTAGTTTGGGTGATACTGTTTCTTCTTCATCTAAAATGAGAGAAAAAGGTGTATTCAGTAGTAGCAGGCAGCGGTGGCATCTGTCTGGCACAGCAGGCATTCATTTTTTTGTGACTGCCACAGTTGGAATTTAAAACCTCAGTGTTGTTTTTTATTTTGAAGGAACCAATTACTCCTTCTACCGGTGCATCACTACAGCCTAGTGAGACAGGGCTGAGTAAGCAGTACAAATAAGGTCTCTGTTAGATCCTGGATGCACGTGAGTTAGTGTGAAACTACACTCTTTTATGTAAGACCGTACACAAACATCACACATATGAGAAGAACCTCTCTGACCCCTAAGACCCTCTTCCAGATTATTG